CCCTCTCAGCCTGCCTGGGCCCCTGGTCACCTTAGGGGCTCCTTCTGTGGCTCTAAATCCTTCCCTACACCATGCCCCAAGCTTTGGGACTGTTCTATGATACTGTCTGTACATACGCTTGGCCCCCTTACATCTTCAGAGCCCTCTGGTCCCTTACAGTCTCTCCCTGGACTCAAGGACCTCCGGTCCCACACACAGCCATTTCTCTGGGCTCTTGAACCCCTGGTCCTGTGTGCCACCTCTCCTCTGGGTTCTGGGCTTTGGTCTGGCTTAGGCCTTCCCTGGGCAGCAGGACCCTCTGTGGGTTCAGAATAGAACAAAGGCCACTTGCTTGAAAAAAAACTCAGTCCTTCTCTGCCCAGGAGCTTGCCTCTGCTCCCAGGCCTGCAGAGTTGCTTATAAGTTGCAGTCCTTTCAGAAACCCTGCTGCCCAGAGCGCCTCCCCCAACAGCTGCCAGGGAGACGGACGGTAGGGCTGTGCAGAGAAGGTGATATTCGATTCGACAGCCATGTTGAATATTAAACCGAGTCCCACTTTGATTTGCTGTCCGCTTCGACTTGAAGCGGGTCCGCTTCGACTTGAGGTCGAAGCTCAGTCGAATATTCGAGCTGCTTCAACTTCCCCATAGGCTATAATGGGGAAGGTCGAAGCAGGCTATAACTTTGGCATTTCTTGTCTGATCTTGATGAAACTTGCAGGAGTGGTAGCGCCTGAGGAGCCCACAAAGCCTGCCAACTTTCAACAAGATAGCTTCAGGGGGTGCAGAGAAACTGCACCCCAAATTCTTCAGAGAAAACCTCCTGTGACTTCTGTGTGGAAAGCCACAGGGAGCTCACAACTGCAGACTTGCTAGCCCCTGAGGAGCCCACAAAGCCTGCCAACTTTGCCAACTTTCATGGTGATAGGTGCAGGCGGTTGGGGGAAACTGCACCTTAGGCTGCTGACAGACAAAACTTGTGATCCAGATGGAGTGAGGAGGGCGGCATTCGCTCTGTCTGCACCTGGAGCTTGGGGAAGCCCAGCAGCGGGAGGTTCAC